CAGACAATAACAGTTGACGGTCCAACTTATCTGATAACGACGATTCAGAGGTTATTCCTTAAATCGAAACTCTTGCTCTAAGTAAGTATTTGGTATATAAAATCTCAGTACCCTGCAGGACAAGTTAGCTGACTTATTTAGTAGCCCAACCTCAATATTTAGTTGTCACCGCTGAATTGCTTCAAATTTAGACCTATTCTCAGCATTGACGGCCAATGAGCAGTGAGGGTTCTTAAACGTGCCAATACACACCGTGACACAGGACCTCTGTTTTTAAGGTCGTATTAACCAGATATTTTTTCAGAAGACAGTAACAAACCTAATAAGTGTTTATTTTTTTGAGGATCATAGCAAGCAAGAAATAAACTGACAAAAATTGCCATAATTTGGGTGGGGGAGGGAGGGTACGGTCTTCCTCTAAATTTTTTTTGAATAACATGGCACACTTTCTACTACAACAAAAAGTGTGTGTATGTGGAAGGGAGGTCGGGTAGTGCTTGGTATTTCTATAATAGGATCTACAGCAAAGGACAATTCTTAAAAAATGTGGGAGACCCAGCCCCCTCTAGTACTACGGACCTGCAAGATCAATAGGATGACTGAATTCAAATTTCATTTCAGTGTCCCAGCATCTCAAATAATTTGAAAAAATCATTGAGGTACCCTTGTTTACTCTTATTTGTTTCTGTATTAAACTTTTTTCTCTCTTGTTTGAGGGAATCTCGACCCTACCATCACAACAAATCTATTACATAGAAATAGATGGAGACATTTATATGTTCAATAAAAAGACGTGCTGGCATCTGGCTAAGTATTATAAGATAATCAGCAATGGCGAATCTAGACAAGGAATCGGGGATTCGTACCCCACTTCCCAGGAATTTTCATGAAAAAGTAACAAAAACACAAACTTAGAGTGGCTTGGACCCCCACTACCCCCACCCCCCTGAAAATATGGAACTGAACTTAAAACAGGAGAAGAGAGTTGTGTATACTTGAAGAAAATTGACTTAGGAATGTGTATTCTTCTACCCAATCCCCACCCCACCTCAAGAAATAGGTTTTTCACGTTTGGGCAAGTTGTTTACATTTTTCTTTCTTTTTAAACTGACTTGTCAAAAAATCTCTGAATCTAAGTTTGTTAGAGTTGTTAACTTCACTTGGAACACTCATCCCCACCCCCAGAAAAAACCACTGATCAGAATAAGAAAACTATTAGATTTTTATTTATTATTGTATTTTTTTTAAAAATTATGTTTAATTCATTTACCATAACATTTTTTGCGGGAGTGGGGGGGGGGGGGGGGGGGGGTGTTACCAAGTTTATGTTCAGATGTCCTTTCTACACATATAAATTGTAGTTTTTCAGAATTGCAAAATTAGGAGTTTATTATATGTAAAGTGTAAACACCAAATATACACTCAATAATCACAATCACCAGGCACCAAGCTAGGCCTTATTGAGACTAGTTCTTCACAGCTTTATTCTTGACACTAGGGCAGTCTGACCGACCGAGTCTAGTAAATGAGCGGTCTGTTCATGTAAAATGTAAAACTAGACCAACTGGTCATCTGGATTATATTAAAATATCTTATATGATCCTATTTTAGTATTTCATATGTATTAAAAATCTAACATATTTGGCAATATTTAACATTCAGCTATCGCCTTGTAAAACAACATTATCCCCACATGACACAATCCCTGTTTTTGTCAGGGCTCTTACAGACTGTGGTTCTGAGAGATACTGTTTGAACTTATCTAGCTATTATCACTCAGTTTTGATTGTCATGAATATTTACAGAACAATGTATTTTCTAATTAGTTTATTAATATTTAAAGTAATTGTATCAAAGTTTGTTTTAATGTTTTTAATTCCTAAAATTTAAATGTTCATATCTAAGTAATAATATACCTGACTAACTTGTTGTGTGTTAATGAGCCTATCATAGACCACAGTAGTTGACCCTGACACATGGAAAAAGATGTATTTAATAAAATATAGTTATCAGAAATAAATTTGCAAGTTAAGTCAGAGCTAGTGATTTATAGTCAGGGTAGGCATAACAATTATAGTAAGTAGTCTGTCAGTCTAGTACTCATAAAAGTTAATGTCAAACTCTGAAGCTTGCAAGGATATGTGTGTTATCTTTGGAAATAAACAGTTTCGATCATTTGAGGCACGCTGCATTAAAAATTTAATTCGTTCTTATCTACAGCTCTTGAAATGATGACTTAGAGTTCAAAGAAACTACCTTTTTAAAAAATCTCCTATTTCCACCCTCCTGTAAAAAGCAGGGAGATGATACCTATTGAACACAACTCCTTTCAAAATTACAGAAAAGCTGAAATGAAATATGAAGATAACGAACAGTAATCGATCTCAAAAGTTCATTGAAACAATAAAAATTTTGAGCAGTGTAAACACCAACATCTAAAACATTAGAGGTGGGATCAGGTGCCAGGTGGAGAAGAAAAGAAGTTCAGGGGAGTCAACAAAATTAATCGAAGAGGTAATCATGATTTTGTAAGGTCTTAAAAATCAAATGAAACAAGTGCACTGAAAAGCAGAGCACCCCCTCGCAGAAGAGCATGCCAATCCTGGTATGAATTACTACTTGCTTAACCTTTGTTACGCACACACTCACCCCCCCCCCCCCCCCACAACACATACACGAGCATTACTTTATATATCCTCTCCAACTTCGCTATGATTTTGTCTGTTTCTCTGTTTGTGAATTTGTTTGTTTTTACTGTTACATGTAATGTTGTTCTTCAAAATGTTGTTACTGATTACAGACAGAGAAACCAGTTCTTCATGATCAGTGTGTTTATTTATTTATTTATTTTTTGTGCTTTAATTCTAACAATATGGCATAAAATAGATTCGAGTGACTTGGAACTAAGGCAACCCATAATTGGCGACTTCACTGAATGTAGGTAATTCAATCTATATAGCTTAATATTGTGACTGTATTGAAGCTGCATGTTCAGAAGTAAATGTTTACATGGTCGAAAAGTACCAAGAATAATCATGGAAACATAGATTTATCTCAATGGAGAAGTAAATTTTTATGTGATTGAATAAATTCCTAAATTCCATTATACCTAGCCAAGCATGCCACAAAAACTCTTTTTTTTTCTTACTGCCTCCATTTTTCACTTTACGAGATGATGTGACCGAACTTTTGAGATTATGTGAATTTTTAACCCGATTGCATACAACTCTATATTACACTTGGAAAAAGCAAAATACTGTTTATTATGTTTTGTTATCCCCTCGTTCAATTTTATTGATTTGATTGGAATACCAGATCAGTCAATAGATGAATAAATTAAAATATATATGTATGTAAATCAAGAGAGCATTCGACATCGATCACAGTACAAATAACATCATTTCCATTTCACACAGGACTAACTCCCTCACCCACAAACAAACACACACACACAATTACATTAAACTATATCCCCTCTAACTACTAGGGGATAATTATGTTACAAGACCGGGTGTCATAAACATTGGCTGAAAAGTGTACGTAGTCTGCAATATGAAATGGTGATCTAGCATTTGAGTGACCTAAAGGAATAATTTATTTAAATTCTGTAATGGTTTGGGTCGTGGATATCGGCCTGGGTAGCTCAGTAGGTAGAACACTTGACTAGTGACGCAGGGGTCCCGGGTTCCACTGCCGGTCCAGCCATACATTTTCTCCTTTCCTGTCACAATTGAATAATAAATAGCATCTTCTGAGCTCTGCAAAAAACGTTGCATCGCTTGACACTACCCACACATCTGTATCTGTAAGACATACGTTGTAGATCTTTTACCAGTCGTGCAATTCAACAGAATATGCCCTGGAACAAACTACTTTTTTTAAATAGCGAGCGCAGCGAGCTCAATAGACTAACGTGTAACAGAGTGAATTCGGAATGACATATACGTCAGGCAAATTTTGGAGTGAAACATTCCCAGAATTCCCTCACTACCAGAATTTCATGCGGTAATGGCGAATATAAAATAATACAAGCTTATCTTTTAAAAAGATTGGTGAGCTAGCGCTGTAGCATAATAAAATACAGAAAAAAGATATCTGAACCATTTGTTAAATTTGCTGAATCGATTAATTATTAATAGGAAGGCAGATTGGTGCACTGAGGGTTGAGTTTGGGGGGTGTGTGTCACAATTCAGAATGGTGAATCTAAGAGTGTGCTTCACGTCGGCAACGGCATAACCCCTAACTGTGCTTTAAGCATTCTGTATTTTACTGTAATTTCAATTTCCAGGTGAAAAATAAAAGGTCAGTAGAACCAATGAGCACCTTCGGGTCTTTCCGGCAAGCTCGGAAAACATATCCGAGGTTACCGTGTTTTCCGAGCTTGCCGGAAAGATCCATGAAGGTCGATTAGAAAAGCTATGTATTCATTACAACTTTAGAAATAACAGTCTTGGTTTTATAAGACCAGAGTAACTGTTACTTTTTGTTCATTTACGTGCAGGTTAGACAACAGAACACGAAACTTCAGATCATATGTATTTTCAGATGATAAACACTAAATTGACATGTCTTTCCGACATACTCTGAAAAAGATTTTTGTTGTTGCTGTTGTAGCTGCAGAACTGTAGCTCTCTGCTTGAGAAAATTCGGACAGACAAAGCAGAGAGCTACAGATCCAAGTGTTGTAAAAACCTTCCGATTTACGCCGCCGCTTTTTTGTCACTCGCTTCGGGTATTATTTCTTGTATTTAATGCTTTCCCCTGCTTTAAAAGTGGTATCCAATAATTATCCATATATTTTACTCCTATTCCTGATATTTTATTTACCTTTCAACGGTTCCAGACGGATCGACGGCCGTATGTGGTTTTGGAATATCAGTTTCATAAAGATTCAACTTTCGGCAGCTCCCTGCTTCACAGTTGCGCATGCGCATTGCAACTTCCGCTTTCGCTTTGGATCGTGAACGGTCATGATTGTTACTTACTTACTTATGGTTACTTATGGTATTTTTCCAACACAGGTCCTGTCAAGGTCCTCTTCGTCGGACTCCAAACTTGCTCTGTGACTACTTGGGTGACTACTTGGGTGACTACCGGTGTAATCGGTTTTAAAATCTACTTTGTAATTATAGAGCACATCCTGGTCCTTCCAGAAGTTGTCCAGTCTATTCTTGAAAGTATTCAGAGTTTTAGCACTTACAACATCCTCTGGTAAGCTATTCCATAGACTGACAGTTCTAACACTGAAGCTGAATTTTCTTATATTGAGTCTCGGTCTCTGTACAAACAGCTTCTTGGAATTCCCTCTTCCTTGTTCCCTAGTAACGTGGTCTCTCCTTAACTTGATAAAGTCTGCTGCTAATGGGTCATACTTTCCACTTGTTATTTTGTACACTTCAATCATATCTCCTCGGTGGCGCCTGTACTTCAGCGTTGGTAGTTTTAGTTTCTTCAACCTTTCTTCATAGCTTAATTTTGCCAATCCTGGAATCTGCTTGGTAGCTCTTCTCTGCACTCCTTCAATCATCTCTATGTGTCTTGATTTGAAAGGGAACCAGACCGAACTCGCATAGTCTAAATGTGTCCTGACAAGTGTCTTATAAAGAGGAAAGAAAGTTTTTTCGTCCAAATGTTGAAAAGTTCGCCTTAACATTGCAAAAATAGAGTTTGCCTTTGTGTTAGTTACTTTCTTTGTGGTACGTTCATTTTAAATCAGATTTTTAATTTTATCGCTTGAATAAGTTTTTCGATAACTTTTTTGTTTTTTCTCATTGAAAATACAACCTTTTTAAGCATTTAATATGATATTAAGTGCAATAGTTTAGATACACAATACTGTACTAAACAATTTGAAGAAAAAAAATTAGTTGTTTGATAGCAATATTAATAGTGATTATTATATGTTTATTTATATGAGTATAACACTATTTTATTGATTTTATTTGATCTGTTGATGGAATATATATTTCTATGGTTGAATTTAACATTTCAGTTCAACATGTTAAAAAATTATCCCCATTTTCAAAATATATGCCTATCAGATGAACAAAGGATGTCTGTGGTCTGTTGTTAGATATGATTTTTACTGAAGCAGTTATGTGAGAGGGCAGTACACTGAATCTCTTGTAAATTTTTTTCTTGCATTTCTCAGAAAATTCAGATGCTTTATCTGTCACATTCTGATAAATTAAGGGCAAATGATTATTATGAAGTAACTGTAAGGTCAGGTCAGAACAGAAGGACATCCTATCCCCTTACTCCAGCATGCTAGAAATTCACAGCAAGATGCTTTTCACTTGGCACCACATTAGCGAGGTATATAAGGAGTGAAGGGAGGTTAACTGAAGCTTTAACTTGTAGGAATACCTATACCCTCTGATCTCTGTTACAGATAAATACACAAGGGAAAAATTGAAATAGCATGCTATTTTAAAACAGTCAAAAATAGGAGAGAAATGTACACAAATCCTTTAACTAGTGCAAGTGATGTGTCCTTAAGCTTATACTGACTAAAATATTTCCAAAATATCCAGTGTAAATAGTTTTTATCCAAATAAAACTCAAGCTTCCTATGCAGTTTGGAATCTTTTTGCCAAGAAAAATGATCTCACAGAAAAATTAAAATTTTTCTAAAACTTTCAACAGGTTCAACAGGGTTCGACACTTACATTATTAGGCTTTAGTCCGGCCGGACTAGTGCTTCTTTACATTTACAAGTCTGCACGCCATTTTATGAGTCTGTAGACACACACACACACATCAATGTTTTGTAAAGGTTAATTTAAAAATAAAGATTGCAATGTACTTTTTATACTTTTTTTGAAATAAACCAAGCGTTTACGTGAAATGTTTTATTCCAAGATTCGTTGAAATCTCGCAATCAGGAACTACAATCGTATTCTCGATCTCCTTTGTTTTTTCTCTATACATGTACATTACATCCAAATGTCAGACATCTTTCTTTATTTGCATACTAAACCAGGATCGCTAAAATATTTAATTTCATACCAATCAGTCCTAAAATTGAGCATCGAATTGACTCGGAATTATCAAACTTCCTGCCAAGAAACTAGAAAGTTAAAAATATATGCGGGGTTTTCCAGTGAAAGTTGTCGAGAATTGAACGTTGGTAATTTATTTATTTTTTCTAGAAAATTTTATTAGTCCGGACTAATTAGCCACAGATTTTATTAGTCCAAATGAAAATGTATTAGTCTGAGACTGACGGACTAACGTTAATGTCAAACCCTGTTCAAGATTACTTCAATATATTGAGACAGAAAATTCTAAATTGGCAGTGAAGTTTAGAAAAATATTTGTCTTCTGGTAAGCATGAAATATGTGGAGATATCGAAGAGCTTGAAGATAATATAGATCTAGAGTAATTTAATTTATATCATAATTTATTGCACCACTTAATAGTTAACACTTAGTCTGAACAATTATATGAGATTGAGTTATCATTTCTAGGCCTAAGGGTTCAGCCGGGGTTTTTATTTGAATAAAATGTACAACATTTTCTCTGATGTATATTCTAGCCTGCATAAGGTCTAGGACATCATTTGCGCTACTGCCTACAAGGATTTTTGTAACATTTACATGTATCAGATGTAAAGTCTGTTTATTTACAAATATTGAGCTACTTTTGATTTTTACCCTTTTGTACTTTTTACAAGAACATATATACATGTGTAATTGCCTCTGTTGTCTGGGGGTAATGTTTGCATTTGTTAAGTCTGTTAAAAGTTGGCATTTGTATTAATGTATACTCATCTGAAGAGCCTTTGCTTATGGTCAGTTTTCTAGTTTTTACAAATATCATATTTGATATAAAATTTCTCAGAGGCATATATTCCAATAATAACTTCCATTTGCTAATTAGATTTTAAGGTGTTTAATGCTGTTTTGCATATTTTGAAACTCGCGCTGGTTTATAATTGACAGATTACCCTCTGGACACCTGTCCATTGTATTGGTCAGGATCTGCCTCGGCCATTCCTGTCTCGGGTAAGTCCCAAAACAGAGAAATGATAATAATAAATACAGATACATATTTATAGCAAAACATGAAAGAAAAAATTAATAATGAGGATAATGGAAAAGTAATTGTTCCACATATCAAATTATTGTTAAATATTTATTCTGCAGGACAAATTTTTGCCACCCATATTGAAAGATGTCCAGTTTCATGTATGCATTTTAGTTTAAAAAAAATAGAATTAATTTCATTTTATTTTTTTTTTTTATAAATTTAAACTCGGATATGCAAATATTTATTAATTTTTTGTTAAATTATAATTATTTAAAATGATGTTAAATGTTTTTGTAGTTGAATTTCATTGTTTTATTTGAATATACAGTGTCTGCGACCCTTCATCTAAAAAAAATTGACCAAATTTTTTTTATAGTTTTTTAAAGATGACAAATTATGACCATGATGACTGGAATAATCCCTTTCTCTAAATTTGTGATTCAATGTTTCCAATTTAGCCACGCAGTTCTAGAGTTAACATCATAAAAATCCATCTGTCACTCTGTCGGTACTCTGTAGTTTTTTTTGTGTCTAGAGATGTTCTCTGAAACTACTGATATATTTAGAATATACCATTTTAATTCTTAAACTTGGTATTTTGGTGTTGATAATTTGTCAAATTTTAAAAAGTTCTTCAATCATAACTTCTTTTACAAGTTTTGATAAGTGAAATTCCTTTCTAAGCTTAACTTTGTAGAAATATCATAGGCTCATTAAGGAATGAAGCTTATTTTAACTTATGTTATACGATATAACATAACTTCGGGCAGTTTATGCTTTATAAACTGGTTTATAAAAAAGCGTAAACTGCCCCAAGTTACAAAGTTACAATCATATAACATAGGTTAAAATAAGCTTCATTCCTTATAATTTAATTTCAGTGTAGACAATAAGACAATTTTTCCTCCAAAAAGGGCTTCAAATTGAGCATATTTTAAAAGTAACATCAATCGGAGTAATACGTTTTTGATGTAACTCATTGTGACGTAGGCAATTCATGTTATACGATATAAACAAAATCTTTTATCCAACCAAATGACATGTTATACGATATAAACAAAATCTTTTATCCAACCAAATGACATGTTACAACTAAAATTAAATTATTACCTCATATAAAGAAAGCTTTCTGACCAGAAATATTTCTTGACCCAGTATCAAGGTCACTTTGACAAGAACAAGGTCACAGGGTACTAATTACATGTATTAAAATATGGTTTTAGTCCTAACTTTGGATTGAAAAAAAAAATCATTTCCTATCTAGCTTGTAACATGAGCTTTGATTGGTTAGTAAGGCGGATGTAAACTTCTGTACACCTGGCTTGAGCCGGGGTAAAAAAATGTGACGTCACAATGCATAGTTTTTCTATCACAAAAAGCAAATAATATGATGTCACTATGCATGGTTGCAGGTAGTTTGAAACACCATTGGTTGGTCTTGGGTTTACAAAGTATTTATTTGGATACATAGGAAATAAATTTGTTATCCAGGTCCAATCAAGGGTGTACGGAGATTTACCCAGGGTTGTATTCCATACACCCTTTGGCCTCAGGGTGTATGGAATAAAACCCTGGGTAAATCCCCATACACCCTTGATTGGACCTGGATAACTAGTAGACTAGTATAAGTTTATGCTTGAGATGAAGGGTATTTTTGATAAAAGGTATGCCCTGACCAGGGTAAATAAGACAAGGTCTAGGACACCAGTTTTAGAAGTAAAAAATTCTTACCACATCCATAACTGATGTCATTTTGGAGAAGAACTTTAAAATATGTAAAATTCTATCTTTAAAATAAAACTTTTTACTGGAGTAGTAGCATAAAGTATTGATCATTTATTTAAATAATACAATCATTGCTCTTATCCAGAGGTGTTACAGTCTTCCCTTATTACATTTCCCTAAGATTTTTGATAAGATAACAAGATAACCAGAGTTCTTTTTAGGTCACCTGAGTCACTCAGGTGACCTATTGCTATCTGTTTTCGTCCGTCGTCGTCCGTCGTGTGTTAACATTTGAACATTTTCAGCTTCTTCTCTGAAACCGCTGAACCAATTTCAGCCAATTTTTGCATATGGCATCTATGTGTAAAGGGGAACAAAATTTGTGAATTTCATGGTCCCTGCCCCCCCCCCCCCCCCCCCCCCGGGGCCTGAGGGGTGGGGCTAAAACCATCAAAATTAATGCAATCTTTAAAAATCTTCTTCTTTACTCCTGGACATCAAGCAGTCAAATTGATGACATGATTGTAATAAGCATTGAGCCCTCTACCAAAATTGTGAAATTCATGGCCCCAGGGTCAGGGGTTCTGGTGTTAGGGCGGGGCTATATAGATCATATAGTGAAATTGCATTATTTCTTTGAAAATCTTCTTCTGTACTCCTGGGTATAATTGAAGCAAATTGAATACATAGTTATGAAAAGCAAGGGTGACTCTACCAAAATTGTGAAATTCATAGCCCCAGGGTTAGGGATTCTGGTGCTGGGGGGGGGG